GCTGGAGGACACCAGGCTGCAGCGGCTCAGCGTCCGCACGCTGCTGCGCGTCAGGGCCACCACGTCCACCATGGGGGGCAGGATGGCGTTGGGGATGATCTTGGACATGTAGGTGCCCTGGGGCGAGATGGACATGACCGGGCTCAGCAGCTCTGGAGGGCTGGCGTTGGTGGTCATGCCCGGCACAGCCAGTGACTTCGGCCTCACCATCGGTGACAGCTTGGCCGCTGTCTTCCTCCCCAGCAACGTGTCGTCGTAGTAAACCCGGTCGATGTGCTTCTGCAAGGCCACGTCTTCCTGCTCCAGGGCTCCCAGGCAGACACGGGCACCCCCGGGCACAGCCAGAGGCTGCAGCTTCCCGTCAATGGTGGGAATGCGGATGGCGTTGCCGGAGACCTGCCTGCCGTTCAGCAAGGGTGCCTGGCTGCCCCCCTGCCCTGCCTGCCCTCCCCCATCAGCTTCAGGGTGTCCCTTGGCTTCCCGGCTGTTCCTGAGGCCTGTGAGCAGGGAGAGACAAACCCAGCATGACCCCAAGGCAGACACACCAAGCCAAGTCAAACAGAGCCTGTGCAATGAGACCAAACCCTAAAAATCCCCCCTTGCCCTCCATGCTTACCCAGCTCCTTCTGGACATGCTGGGGGATGCCCAACACTGTTGTCCTCCTCTCCTTCCTCTTTTTGCCAGCCCTCTCTGAGGATTTGGAAAAGGAGTCGTGCGGTCGGAAGGTGGAACCTGTGAGAGGCATGAAGGGGTCCAGTTAGCATGAGGGGGTCCTGGGCATTCCCAGTGTCCCCTCCACTGCCAGAGATGCTCCAGGACAAGCTCAGGCACTCAGCACAGCCTGGAGAGGCACCAGCAGCTGCCAAACATCCTCTTTTTGCCAGCCCTCTCTGAGGATTTGGAAAAGGAGTCGTGCGGTCGGAAGGTGGAACCTGTGAGAGGCATGAAGGGGTCCAGTTAGCATGAGGGGGTCCTGGGCATTCCCAGTGTCCCCTCCACTGCCAGAGATGCTCCAGGACAAGCTCAGGCACTCAGCACAGCCTGGAGAGGCACCAGCAGCTGCCCACCAGCCACACAGTCTGAGCAGGGAGGAGACACTGTCTGTCCATCTGTCCCCCTCGCCCAGCCCCAACCCTCTGACTCAGCCTGAGTTGCTCTCTTCTCTCCAAGGGCCTACAGATCCCTGCTCCAGCTCGTGGCCACGCCAACACCGAGCCCAGCTTTCCTGCCATGCACCCCAGCTCCCCTCACACCCCCTTGGCTCACGTTCCCCCAGTCCCCCAGCCGGGTACCTTTCCGCTGGATCATCTCGGAGCGGATGGAGAGGGCATCCTCAGAGGTGCTGTCCGTGGCACAGGAGGCCGTCCGGCTCCGGAAGGACACACTGTCATCCTCCAAGGATGTGCAGGACTGTGCGGGCAGAGAG